TTACTGGCCACATACAATGTTTCATATTCTTTAGTTTTAAAAGAAGCCAAAACAATCATTTTTAAAATAGAAAAAAATATTTTCAGGTTGTGGACTGTACAAAACCAAAACTGAGGCTGGGAAGGTGGCTCAGTGGTAGAACGCTTGCTTCACACGCATGAGGCCCTGGGTTTGATTCCTCAGCATCACATGCGCAGAAAAGGCCGTAAGTGGTGCTGTGGCTCAAGTGGTAGAGCGCTAGCCCTGAGCTGAAGAGCTGAGGGACAGCGCCCAGGCCCAGAGTTCAGGCCCCACAACCAATGAAAACAAGAACCACCAAAAACAAAAACAAAAAAACTGCAATATGGGTGCCACTGGCTCACACCTGTAACCTACTCAGGAAACTGACATACAGACGGTCACAGTTTGAAACCAGTCCAAGAAGAAAAGTCTGAAGGACCCCATCTTCCAAATTAACAAAAAGCAAGGTTAGAAGCATGGTTCAAGGAGAAAAGAACTAGCCAAGGAATCACAGGCCCCAGTTCAAATCCTAACACTTGCAAAAATCAAAACATGATGCAGCCGGGCACTGGTAGCTCACACCTGTAATCCTAGCTATTTAGGAGGCTGAGATGTGAGGATCGCTGTTCAAAGGTAGCTGGGGCAGGAAAGTCCGTGAGACTTCAGAAAACCAGAAGTGGTGTTATGGCTCAAGAGTTCAAGCCCCATGACTGACTTAAAAAAAAAATAACAAAAACCAGGATGCAGACTGGATTCTATGTATAACCAGTTTGCTGATTCTAAGACATTATGAATTAACCAGATAAACATGATTAATTCTTCAAGTTATAGTTTTTGCTTATAGCCTTCAGTTTTCATGAGCAGAAGTAGATGTCTATTCATCAAGTTCTCTAATTTACTGCTTAAAATCAGATGATAATAAATTTTTGGTTTAAGAGAATTATGGCTAAAACATGAACTAGAAACTTTAGAATTACGCAGAGAAAGCACTTAGCTTCTGTCTCTCAAAACCCCCCACTCCATCATCACCACCCTGCCCCTTCCCAAAAATCTCAACAAGCTCCGTTATTTGTGAATACACAGGGTATTTCAACCACACTGGCATTTCTTCAAACTCTCTGTTCATCACATTCCCCTTCCCAAGATAACAAGTTTGAAAGAAAAAAAAAAAGCTAGTTTCCAAACTACTATGGAACTCATTGTTAAAGACTGGTTTGCTATTCCTAAATATGCTACCAAGAAAATCAACTATTTTAAGGATTTCTGCTACACTAAAGAGGTATACAAAAACTTAGGACTACCTTCAATTTTGGCAATATTTTTTAAGTTTTAGAAAACCAGTAGTACAAATCTTCAAAAATTGGAAAAGGACTCGCCATGTCTGACAACCATGAAGGTACAAAATCAGAGGAATGACACAAGCAATGTTTGTAGGAAGGCAAAAAAAACCAAAAAACCAAAAAAACATCTTGGGAGAATAAAGCTTACCTATATCTTTATAGGCAGCAGGGCTCTTGAAGGAGGGATGGCAAAAAAGACGCCTGTCACAGAGCCAGAATTCTGTCCTCAAAGCAGAAAGGCTGTACTGGGTGAATAGATGAAAATAAAAAATTAGCTTAAAACACACTATTCTTTTAATACCTTGGCTGAGAAAACTCAGAATGCCAAGAGAAAAAGAATGTGAAAATCTATATTTCACAAAAGACGACAGCAAGTCTACATGGACTTTATTAAGAAGAAATTATCAACTTTGCCTTCCAACAAAAGGTTTGGTTTATTCTTTTAATAATTCCTCCCTGATCAATTTATAATACTTTTTACTTTTCAAAATATAATTAAGGGCTGCCAAAACATTCATGTTCACACTCTTATCACTACCCTCAAATGGTCTAAATAAAGTTTACTAACACATACTCTTGATTTGCCATATTTCTATGAAAACAAGAATTCATAAACTTGTTTCCCACAGCTTCCCTTACAGCCAGACAGCCAGGTGACAAAGTGGTAGCTAGTGCCAGGTACATGGAAATCTCTGGTTAAAAAAAAAATTGTTTTAAGAGGAAAACATTAAACATCTCTAGAAATCCTTGAAAAGCTCTTCCTTTCCTGAACTTGGAACTACTGACCAAAGGCAGAACTACCACCCTGTGATCATTCGGCATTTAACCGAATGATCACAGGGTGGTAGTTCTGCCTTTGGTCAGTAGTTCGGTATTTTGGTTCCGCAAAGGCAGGAAAGTTCATAGACTCTTCTCCAATTAACGACCAAAAAACCAGAAGTGGATCTGTGCCTTAAGTGGTAGAGTACTAGTCTTAAGAACAAATGCACAGTTAAAGTGCTCAGGTCCAAAGTTCAGGTCCCAGGACTGGTATGTACATACACATGTACATACATACAACATAAACATACAGCAAATATTTTTAACAGGCTAAAAGACTCAAAGAGGTCTTCACCTCCTGCCCCAATGAGCACTGTTTGCTTTTTCTAGTTCTTTTTCTTTTTTTGCTACCAGTACTGAGCCCTGTCTCTTAGCTATTTCATTCAAATGGGAGAACACTAGCCTTGAGCAAACTCAGGGCCAGGCCCAGTTAAAGGCTAAGGACTAGCACACAAACTCACTCAGGGCCTGGGTGCTGTCCATGAGCTCTTTTGTTCAAGGCCAGTGCTTTACTATTTTGAGCCACAGTGCTATTTTTGGCTTTCTGGTGGTTGGTTGAAGATTAGAGTCTCACTGACTTTACTGCCTGTGCTGGTTTTGACCTGCAATCCTCAAATCTCAGCCTCCTGAAGAGCTGATTACAGGTGTGGGCCACCAGTACCTGGCTTAGGAATGTTCTTAAAAAGTTTATTGCTGGTCATTTTCTGTAAATGGTTGATTTTTGCTGTTCTTTGGGTTTTATCTCTTTTTGGTTGTACTAGGTTTGACCTCAGGTTCACACTTGCTAGGCAAGTACTGTGCCACTTGAGCCACTTTTTCAGCCCTTTTGTGTCAGTTACTTTGAGATAGGATCTTGCTTTGTTATCCCAGCCTGGACTATAATCCTATTTGTGCTTCTCTGTATCGATAGGATGATAGGATAACAGATGTTCACCACTGTGCTCAATCACTAGTTGAGATGAAACCTCAAACTTTTTTCAGGGCCAGGGGAGCTTACTGTCCCCCCTTAGCTCTACTTCCCAAGTCTCTAGGATTATAAGCTTGAGCCATCACATCCAGTTTGTCCTATTAATATGCAGTTCTTCATATTTTCATTTTGGAGCCTCTATAATGGACAATTGAGCCTTTATAAAAGAAAAAAAAGTTGCCACAGAAGTAGTATTGTTCTTATCAAAACTTACCTTTTGAAAGCAATCAGAAAGCTATGAGTAGGTACCATTATTGCCCCGGTTTATTAATGGGAAACAGGTAGTTTAAATAACTTGCCCAAGACCATGAAATGATAATTCAAGAGAGAGCTGGGATTTGAATGAAAATAAATTTCTGAAGCATATCTTTGTCTCAAGAAGAAATTCAATATTTATATACATGCTTTAACCCGGCTTTAAAAATAGCTTAGGAAATAGTGAATTGCATATAGTAGATGACCAAATATTTAAATGAGGAATATATTTAGAAATTTTCACAACTGCAAATGTACATGTGAAAGTTTTCTCACTCATGTCTAATACAATAAAATTTCAGTGCTCAGATCTGTCATCTTCACACACCAAAAATAAAAATATTTATGAAGCACCTGCAAGCTTGTAATCTCTTTCTCTCTTTCTATAATTGTAAAGCACTTCATACTTCGTTTTATGGAAGTCCTTATAAAATTTGACATTAAAAGAATTTTCTTTGTACAAATTATTTAAAGATAAAAATGTTGAAGAACTAAAAAAAGAATTGTTACTTTTTAAAGTATAAACAGTAAATATACACACAAGCACATGTATGCTTTCTACACCTTTAATCTAATTCTGTGGTGACCTTTTCCTGGGGAATATGTGACAGTGTCTGAAGAAATGTTTTGTTTTGGTTATCACACCTGGAGATTGGAGATGTCCCCCACTACAAGGGACTCATCTAGCATAAAATATCAAGCCAGTATTTAGTTCCGAAAAGATGTGAGATTTCACAATAAAGCAAGTTATGACCTCTAGAGGAAAAAAATACTGTCTACTGAAACATCATTAACAAGAACTTACCTATTTTTGCTCTCTTTCCATCTACTAGATCAACAGTTAAACCTTTTGGAAGCTTAACATTCTTAATATTTTATAAAATATTTCCAAATAGAAAATGTCAAGCACTCCTAAACAAAATAAAACTTCACACACTGATCAAATAAACTTCAAATACTTTTAATTCCTATTAAATAATCTACAACAGGTTGAGGCAAAAATGATGGTCCTTAAACCCTTGCTTTTTACACATGATACAGAGTTCAAGTCCATTATAAATGATTAATATACTCTCAAAGAATCTGTTTCTGTGTGTTCAGACTATGAATACCTCCTGCTTCTTGTAACATTTACCATTCTAGCCTGGTCTAGCTTAAGGAACACTTCACCTGCAAGCCACACTATCCTTGAATATTTTCAACTTTCATACTATTGCATGGAAAACAAAGTGCTTTTTAAAAGAAAAGAAATGGAGCCAGGTGCTGGTGGCTTACGCTTGTAATCCTAGCTACTCTGGAAGCTGAGATCTAAGGACTGTGGGTCAATCTAGCACACCTGTGCAGGTAAGTCTGTGAGACTCTCATCTCTAATAAAGTACTCAAAAAGGCTGGAAGTGGCATGGCACTGTGGCTCAAGGGGTAGAGCGTTAGCCTTCAGCAGAAGCAGCTCAGGGACAGTGCCCAGGCCTTGAGTTCAATCCCCAGGACTGGCAAGAAAAAAAAAAGTTTCTTAATCATTTTTGCATTTTCACCAATATGAATGAAACTGGTGGGTGGACTTACACACCAAGAATATTAAACTCTCCCTATGGGAAATATAATGAAACAGGACATTTTACCTCCTCTTCACTTTCTTTGTCTTCATCATCTGAAGACTCTTCCTTATTTTTCTTTTCTTCTTCATCACTACTAGATTCATCTGATAGAATTTCAGGACATTTGGATTGTTTTGCTTTTCTTGCAGATCCAGAACTGTTCCGTTCCTTTTTACTGCCTTTGCTAGAATTTTTTTTAGATTTTGGCAATGGCTGCATAAAAAAAAATTTTAAACAGTAACACCAATAAGATATAATATTTCTAAGCCAATTAACTCTTAATTCTCCATTTCTACCTAGAAATATTTACAAGATTAGCAGCTTCACAAATTAAGTTAACCTAAAATTTCATTACCAATATTCTTCCACTTTGGTCCTAAATACCTCAAGACTAACTGCAAAGGCTGAGTATATTTCTGACATGGGACTGGAAACCAAGAGTACTATAGACCTCATCTCAGCCAATAAGCTGTGTGGTAGTATGTGCCTGTCAACCCAACTACAGCAGAAGTATAAATATGAGGATTTCAGTCCAGGACATCCTAGGCAAGAAGATCATATATATATATATATATATATATATATATGTACACACACACACACACACACACACTTAATGGAAAGCATTAACAGGTAAAGGCTTGGCTCAAGTGGTAAAATACCTGCCTATTAAACACAAGGTCACCAAGTTCAGACACCAGTACCTTATATATACACAAAACCAGGTTCTGAAACTGGTTCTAAGCATTTTGAATATGGGTAGTCAATGGATACTCAACTATAGTTCGTAGTAATTTTAAGCAATACTTTTCATGTAACTAGCAAGACCACAAGACTTTTTCTTCCAGAGTATCTGTCACACAAAAATTAGGTGCCTGCTTTGTGTTTTCAGGCTAACTATGAACAGAATAAACCACAGGACAGTTTCTAACTTGTGCAAACATCCACTCTTCTAAAGGCCAACTTGGAAACAATAAGTCACCCCAGAAATTTTGTTAGTGGACTAGAAAGACATTTTCCCATAGAGCAATCTCCACAAAAGACAACTATTATAATGAATTTAATCTGAGTAAATCCTTTGTAGGAATCTTTAAGAAAATCTCACTATCCAAACACTTAATATTCACTATATGAATTCCAGATCTCAAATGTGTTGGAAAAATGTGGTTTCTCTCAATAGCTCAGGAACCAAATGCAGGTATTGAGGATTTAATATGAATACAGAATGAGAATGACTAGAAGACTGCTTGAGTAAATCTATGTGAGAGTGTAAGAATGTTAGGATTCAATAATCAATCAGGAAAATGTAATTCCTCAAATAAATGAGAAAATGTAAAAGCAAAAATCAGGAAGTAATAATATATAGCTTTAAAGCCTTCCTACACTGGTTCTAAAAGCTGAATCCATGATCAAAGCACTCGCAACCTTTTACTGTCTCTCAGCTTTTTCCCTCATGGCTGGCAGTTTACACTTGAACCACACCTCCACTTCTGGCTTTTGCTGGTTAACTGAGATTAAGAGTCTCTTGGAATTGTCTGCCCAAAGTGGCTCTGAATCTTGATGCTCAGATCTCAGCCTCCCAAGTAGTTAGGAAGATAAGTGTAAGCCATCTGTACCCAGCCATTATTCTTTTTGGAAATAAAATCTGATTAACAAATAATCAAGACAATACAGTAAGACAGTGAAACCAAAGGCTGCTATTTAATAGTTCTTAAATTACTATACAGAAAAATGTAGTAATGACTTCACAGCATTTTTCATAATGACCAGAAGTACAAAATAGCATAAGCTTGACACCATCATATTAAGGAGGTATCAATCATCACAGGGTTACATATGAATTACTCTAAGAGTTTCTAAAAGAAAGGACAGAACATTAATTTTCCAAGTATTGTTCATGGAATATACAGTACCATGAGCCTTGAAGAATCTACAAAGTATTTTTGTAGTAATGATAATGTATTTGTTCTTTTCAGTGTGTTGAAATCTCTACTAACTGTAAACATGGCAAAACTACTGATGCCTAAGCACTAATCAAGGCATATTGGAATCAAGGCAGCAGCAAAGTGTACTAATAGCCATTATATTCATCATAAATACCTATTAGCAACAAATAAAAAACAATACTTCACTTAAAAATGTCCTTGATGAAACAATAAATATTAATTCTATCAACTCAATCCTTGAGGCACAGATCTGTATATTAACTACGACAAAACAGGAGACACACATACGTGGCTACATATTGATTTTAAATGGTTTCCTCACGAAAACATTTGTGCAATAGTTTGAATTAAGCTAGCTAATACTTTCATAAACATTTTTTAAGGGGACTGAACCCATATTCTCATGCATACTGACTGGTAAGTGCTCTACCACTGAAATAGTATTTCAGATTTAGGTGTTTAAAAGAAATGTTCTAAAAAAAAAACAAAAAGAACAGGTAAGCAAGGTGCTTGCTGGTGCCTTATGATTGTAACTCGAGCTATTTGTAAGATTGAGAATTGGAATATCAAGGTTCTAAGCCAAACTGGACAGAAGTTTGTAAAACTGTCTCTACAGAGAGAAGCTGGATGCAGTGGTGCGTTGCTCACTTGTGATCCCAGCAATGACAGGAAGCCAAAAGTAGGCAAATCACAACTCAGGTTCCTGCCTGGGTGAAAATCAGAGAACCTATCTTAAAAATAACCAGTACTGGAGGTGTGGTTTAGTAGTATGGCCCTAGCCCAGCAAGCAAGACCCTGAAGGCAAACTCTTGTTCTGTCCCCTTGACCTCCAGGAAAATTGACAGTATTCATTACCAGCAAATTTTACAACTTCAAATGGAAATGACAGTTGGAGAATTTCATACCATGAAAAGCCCATCTCCAAAACAACACAAAATCTCAAGTGGTACAGCATCAGTCTAGCAAGCTTGAGTTTAAACCTGAGTACCACCCCCACCTGCACCCCCACCAAAAAGAACCTCACTTTGCCAGAAGGCTTTGGATGCATTAAGAAATTCAAAATCCTCTTTACAAGCTCACTATTTACTCCTGATCTTTCCAAATCAAGAACCTCACAGATGCTCTTTAACATGGCATTTCTGAATCTGAAAAAGAAAAAAACAAGGTAATTATAGAGCTTATAACCATTCCCCACAACAAAGGCAATAATCAACAAAATAGGCAGTTTATGTACATACATGAAAAAGCAGTCATGTTTTCACATATCTTAATAAACTTTCTACTCAAAAACTAATTATGGTTAGTAGGTAAGTATTACCAAATTAAGTTGGCTTTTGTGTGTCTGTGTGTATATGTAGGTCCTGGGGCTTGAACCCAGGGCCCTGGGCACTGTCCCTGAACTTTTTTGTTCAAGGTTAGCCTCTACCAGTTGAATACAGTTCCACTTCGAGCTTTTCGGCAATAGTGTCTTATGGACTTTTCCTGCCAGGGATGGCTCTGAACTACAATTCTCAGATCTCAGCCTCCTAAGCAGATAGGATTATAGGCATAAGCCATGATACCCAGCATACCAATTAATTTTTAAATACAGCATAAGAATAAACTAATTTTAACTAAACTCATGGAGAAATTACATAAAAAGTTGCAAATTCATAGATGCAACAATTCTTACAGCTAATTGATGAATTAATTTTCCCTCAGCATTTGGACTAAAATGTCTGAATGAATACTAGGTCATTTTTATTATTTAAATTCTTAAATGATAGTCATTTAATAAAGGAAAACTCTTAAGAGTGTATCATCTCTTTCATGTTGTTTCTAACACATTTATAAGATTATTTCTTTGTTGCTTTGTATGTCCCTCCCCCACAGTATAACCCCTGCTTTCACTGTATTTGATGTCGGTATAATTTGTGGTGGGGAAGGGAAAAAACAAGTCGTTTAAATAAGGATACAGGTGGACCCGTTGCAACAATGAGAAGTACAAGTTGTTATGTCGAAAACAAACTTTACAACTTTGGTGGGGGGGACGGGGAGGATTGGGTGGGGGGGTGGGGGTGGGGGGAGGATGGGAAGGGGAAACAAAGGAGGAGGCTACAATGCTTGATAAGAAATGTACTCATTATCTTGCCCATGTAATTGCAACCCCTCTGTACAGTATTTTCACAATAAAAAATAAATATTTAAAAAAAGAGTGTATCACCTTGATTGAACTATGATGTAGGACCATTTCTATCAAGTTATCACCAAAGTAGTTTACATAGTTTAAAAAGGAACAGTAGCCAGGCCCTGGTGATTCATGTCTATAATTTATCATGATTACTTAGGAGGCTGAGATCTGAGAATCATGGAAAGTGAAAGATCTGAAGGAAAATGAGTAAGACGTATCTCCAATTAGTCACCAATAAGCTGGAAGCAGAGCTGTGGCTCAAGTGATAAAGTTCAGGTGTTGAGGGGAAACAAAAAAACACAACTGAAGGCCAGTGCCTAGACTTTGGGTTCTAGCCCAAGTATTGGTGCAGAAAAAAAAAAAAAGGAACATAGTAAATGACAATAGAAATGTCAGATTCTTTACTACATTCCTTTTAGCTCGTCTGAATTTTGAACTCTGCAAATGATTAACCTGTGTGAAACACTCTTTTAGGAAATAAAAAACTAAGTACTTTCAGTAATCTTGATGGCCATTATTTTTTGGAAAGTAATTAACATCCTGAGTTAATGTAATCAAATCTTGGTACCGAAAGAGCACAGAATCCACAGTCCACTGAAAATGAGAAATTATTTTTAAATATTAAAAAGTAAATAAAACACTTATCAAAACATGATTATTTACAAAACAACTTACTTTTTTAACATTTCTTCCTTCTTTTTATACTGGACACTTCCTTTTTCAAATGGAAAACCACTGAACTGACCTACATTCTTCTTTAATGAGGTTACCTGAAAATATTTTTCTCATCATTAATACTACCCAGAAAAGTACAATAAGAATCCTTAAAGCCAACATCATTATCTCATATATCTCTAAGTTACAACAATTTATTCAGCATTTGTTGTTCCAAATTGGAAATATATTCGTTACTAAGAAAAAAATCATGTAACAATTTGAGCTGGGCACAGGTGGCTCATGCCAGTAATCCTAGCTACTCAGGAGGCTGAGATCTGAGGAACTCCATCACTGTTCAAAGCTAGTCCGGGCAGGAAAATCTGTGAAACTCTTATATATAATTAACCCACCAGAAAACTGGAAGTGGCACTGTTGCTCAAGTGGTAGAGCACTTGCTTTGAGCTGAAGAGCTCAGGGACAGTGCCCAGGCCCAGTGTTCAAGCCCCACAACTGATCAAAAAAGGAAAAGAAAATAACAATTTGAAGCTGGATGTGGTGACACATGCCTATCACATGCCTATCAAGTAATCAGGAGGTGGATGCAGGAGGATCTCAAAACCACCAAGTTAGCCATTATTCAATCTCATCACAAAAAATAAAATGGCCAGGAGCATAACAAGTAGTAAAGAAATTGCCTAGAATGCTTGAGGTGCTAGTTTCAATCCCTAGTACCACAAAAAATAAGTTTGAATTTGAATGAATTTCCATCTGGGAATACTTACCATAAGTGTTATCTGACAATACTCGATGCGCAAAGTAACTACAAAAACTTCTTTCCCATAAACAACAAACTCTAGTAATGTTTCTTTTTCAAATCAGGAGCAACTTTACTTTTTAAAAAGTAAAAAGAATAGTCAGTATTCCAAAAGGCCAATACCATTAACGAGTTAGGATGTTTGTAGAAAGTATTGTGAGGACTGAAATTAATCCATAGATTATAGTATGCCACAAATATTCTAACAACATCCACCTTTACCTTGCCAACACATAGCCCAAGAAAAGCTTCCTTAATTATATGAAATAAGTTGGGTGCTAGTGGCTCATGCCTATAATCCTAGCTACTCAGAAGGCTGAGATCTGAGGATTGCGATTAGAACCCTGCCTGGGCAGGAAAGTCTATGAGGTTCTTAACTTAGCTACCAGAAAACTGGAAGTGGTGCTGTGGCTCAAGTGGTAGAGCACTAGCCTTGGGCAGAAGCTCAGAGACAGTGCCCAGGCTCTCTGAGTTCAAGCCCATGACCGACCAAAAAATAAAATAAAAATTATATCAGGTATTTGTTCAAAATGAGATACAATTATGTTAAATCACTTAACAATTCTTCCAGTAAGTTGGGCACTGGTTGCTCACACCTTCAATCCTAGCTACTTAGGAGGTTGAGATTTGAAGATCATGGTTTGAAGCCAGCTCAGGAAGGAAAATCTCTGTGACTCTTATCTCCAATAAACTACTAAAAAAGCTCTAAGTGGTAGAGTGCCAGCCTTGAGCAAAACAAATCTTAAGGATAGCAACCAGGTGGCAAATTCAAGCTCCAGGATTGACACCCCAAAAACAAGAAAGTATTCCAATAATTCCAAACTTAAAGGGCATTAAAATCATCATAGTACAGATTTTATAATTTGAAATTTAAGTACAAATAAATTACATTGCCATTTTTTATGGCAGTGCTGGGCTCCAGTGCTTTATACACATTTTTTGGACAAGCACACTATCACTAAGCCCCAAACTGGAGTAAAAATAACCACACTAAATAAAATGAACTTCAAGGAAACAAGCAAACAAACTGAGCTGTAAGAGCTGAAACTATAGTCCTAATTGCTGAGACTCAGCTACGGAACCTGTAATGTCATTTAGTTTTTGTCACTCACTCACCGGTGTGGTATAGAAATTATGCTAGTTGATCATTAACATCTTACTGGATTAACATTAGGGTTTTATTCTAAAATATTTGAACATATAAACAAGCATTCAGATTAAAGGCATAAAGACTTACTGTGCCTGGTCTGTTGTAAAGCAGTTTATGCAGATTTCGAAGTTCATCTGTTTTCTTCTTACTCAAAAAGAAATGTATCCTTTCAATTTCACAGAGTTTCTGCCCTTTTCCTGTTAAAAGACATAATCAAATACCCGCTGCTATTAGTACACTTACAAAATTTAATAACAATTTAATGTGAATTGTGTTTACATCATTATTTCTATGTAACTTTGACCAAGTGGGGCAAATAAAACAAAATTATGCCAAAAGAACATTATTTCTTCAACACTAAACACCCTGCTAAGCACCACTAAACATCATTAGGCTATCTGGGGATTTTTACTGTAAAATGAAAGTAATATAAACTTACCTTGCGCAATAGTAAATGGTTCTCTCTGTAATGAAGACACTTGCATAGTCAACCTCTCTACTTTTTTCTTTTCCCTCTTGCCTTCTACGATGAGACTCTTTTCTAGAAATTAAATATTTCTTACATTAAAAAAAGGTAAAGGAATTAACTTTATTGTTAACACGTAGGAAAAAAAAGATTACTAAATCTAACACTTTATTCTTTTTCTGAGCATGGTTTTGAGAACTGTGCCATTTACCACCAGCAGACAAAAAAGTGAAAAGCCATTTCCTGTGAAAAATCATCTAGGGCTTAGGTGTAGAATGCTTGCCTCAGTACCACATGAACAGAAAATGCCAGAAGTGGTGTTGTGGCTCAAGTGGTAGAGTGCTAGCCTTGAGCAAAAGAAGTTCAGGGACAGTGCCCAGCCCCTGCATTCAAGCCCCCAGGACCAGAAAAAAGAAAGATAAAACATTAAGGAGGGAGAACACAAGTAAGGACAGGAGATATAGCATAGCTCAATAGTAAAATGCTTGCCTAGAACTCTTAGAAGCCCCAGGTCCTAGGTTTAAACCCAACACTAGTGGCGGGAAGACCTGAAAAGAAGTTCTGTGAATTCAACAGTTATTTTTGGACTAGAGCTTTGAAGGACAGGTAAGGGATGTAAGGATCTTCACATAAAATTCACATAAAATGCAGGTATATTGTGACAATAGCCAACAAGAACAGAGAAGCGTAATAGAGGAATCTTATCACTCAATTTCCTCTCCCTTAGTGATTTAAACTACCCACTTCCTTCTGATCATCTAATAAACTTCACAATCTAGTTCCAGGCCAGAGATTTTTTTTCCCCCTGGGAGTTGGACCAACAAATAAATGCTTGGCTGCCATCTGGACAGCTTCACTCCATGTCCTAAGGCATCTAAAGAAACTCAATATATCCAAAACCAAAGTTATAATCAGCTCCTAACCTGCACATCTCTGCAAACTTTCCAGAAAACAAAACCGTTCAACTAGATGCCAAAGTCAAAAAGCTACTAGTCATCTTTATACTAACAATTTCCCTTTCCCCCAATAATTGCCAATTCCAAATGAAAGTAAAATATTCTTGACTAACAGAAGAAAAACTTTTGCAATTCTAGCCTCACATCTCAAATGAGTAAAAGGAGTAATAATGAATCAGAGCAATTATAAACCTGCTGTAAGTTTACTTTTTTTAGTAATTTTTAAAAATTAACTAATCTGGCTTCTTGGCCACTGACTGCAAGCTCTCCATTTACAGATCTCTTAAGTTTTCCTGACCAAGGAAAGCCTTGAAGCCTGCCCTTTTAGAAAGACTGAAGAATTGAAATCTGGAGGAAAAATTTGCTGAGAAATTCTTGGCTAGTAGGGGGATACTACAAGCCAACTCTCAGTTGTTATATCCTAAGTAACCTAAAAATAATTTATATCAAACAATTTATATTAAAATTTAAAAGCAATGCTGTATTCAAATATGAACATACTCCTGGGCCTTGGGGGCACATATAACTTTAAGCAAAAGTCATACCTTGTAAATCTTCACCCAGATTGTATTATACTGATTTCAACACTTATGTAGACTTAAAAAAAAAATTAAGCCTGGTGCCAGTGGCTCACACCTGTAATCTTCTCTACTCAGGAGGCTAAGATCTGAGTGGTTGAGGCCAGGAAAGTCTGTGAGTCTGTTATCTCCTATTAACCACCAAAGCCGGAGGTGGAGCTGTGGCTCAAGTGGCAAAGTGCCAGCCTTGAGCAAAAAAAAAAAAACTAAGGGCGACCAGGCCCCGAGTTCAAGTCCTAGTACTGACATTAAAAAAAGTTTGGGAAAGATTTATCAAACTCATCCCACGACGAGCTGAGTTACAGCCACACCCAAAATAAATAAAACTAGACTGGACTATCAGCAAAGAATGCTAAGACTGGAGACTCAGGCAGTGGGTGTACCTCAAAGAGGACCGTTCATCTGGTGCAAAAACACAAAGCAGCCTAGCTGTGCCTCCCGGTCAAACAAGGGTTAATAATGACATTCTTTCAGGGCAGATTTCACTCTAAAGCCGAGACAGCTGCGCCTTCACGCTTAACTTATTTTCACAGTTCCTCTTCTCATTTTTAACGACTTTCTCGAAGAGCCGCTACTTTCACTGGTGTGTCCCAGCGAAAACTCTCCTTTGAAGAGAACCACCTCTGCTGAAAGGCAGCGAATACGGTTTCAGAAAGAGAAAAAAAAAACCCACTTCCGGGGCTAACATTCCTGAGTTCAGTCTTGGCGTACGACACGAAACGAGACTACGGTCACTTCCAAAGGCACGGGGATGCATCGTGAAATCAGCAGAACGGAAAACGTCCACCCAGCGGCTCGTCCAGGAGACTCCCAAGCCGGGCTTCAACCGAAAAAAGCCCAACAACTCGCACCAACCTGCGACGGACACGGACTGGCTGTCAACCAGCCCAGGACGCTGAACGCCCGGGGAGGCGGGCAGGCAGCAAGTCCGGCCGCCCGAGGCAGCCGGGACTCACGATCGCCCAACAGCCACCGTTTTTTAAAGATGTTGCATGCATTCTTGCTTTAAAAACAAACAAACAAACAACACAATCACTGTGGATCGTTGAACGCCTTTGGGGCGCCAACAAGACCTAAGAGAGCAGCAACTGAATCTGCGGCAATGAAACCACCTGGCGCCCAGGGGGTGCGCCTTCCTCCCCACCTTTCTCTTCCTCCTCCTCCTCGTCGTCGTCGTCGTCGTCCTCCTCCTCCTCCTCTTCGCTCTCCTCCCGGGGACCCGGCATGTCGGGTTCTTTCTCGGACGCGGGGGCCACGGGGGTCTCCTCTCCCTCCGCAGCTGGCGCCGAGGAGGACATGCTGGGGACCTGCGGAGGAAGCCGGACGCCGCGCTCGGGGTTGTGGCTCCGGCGGGCAGGACTGGGCGGCCGCCGTGGGGAACC